GCGTCCTCGGACTATAAATCATCTTCGTTGGCTTACCATCAGCTCTGATCTACGTTCCCTGTCAGCACGCGTGTTCGCGGTTCAACGAGTTCCTTGCGGTTTCCTGTCAGAGGCTATCCTACCGGGCACCCAGACGCCTACGTACGTGCCTGACGTCACGTGGAAGGATCCGCTGGTATTTTTGAATCGAGTAGACGTCTGGGCTTGGTTCGATTTCAGGGGTGGATGAGGGATATAATTTTTGTTGAGGGATGAAATAAATCATTTATAGCACACACGATGGGTACCCACTTCAGGACCGTGAAAAAGATCGGATCCGCGTAAGGGTCGTCGCAGCTGATTATCGCGGCGGAGATCGAAATTGGCCAAAAGCAAACGGAAGCCTCGGGGTACGAGCGGAAGACACCGTGTACGGTTAGGATCATGAAGGTTATCGCTTGGTCAGGCAATTTTATGCCAGTCCTTCTTACGGTCATTGGCCGAATGCTCGAAGTATCAAGGCGATACGTAAGGTACGCGCAATATTCCAGAAATAAGCCTGTCGAAATTATACTTGATCAGGTATCGCAAGAGGCATTGGGGCTTCTACCTGGGAGGTGAAATAGGTGACTGCTGGACAGAAGGCAGTCGGCAAGGGATGCGCAGGGTGGGCGGCGCGCATATATGGCGTAGGTGGTCTGGTAACTCGTGGAAGAGTTTTGGAGCCGGTAAGAGTCTAGCCGGGTAAGAAGAGAGAGAGAGATGAGTAAAGGTGGAAGGAAATAGGAGCCATGTTGGCAAGGGGCAGGTAGAGGGGGGCGCGGGAAGGAGTCTGTGAGGTGGGGAATGGCGGTATCAGGAAAAAGAAGAAAAAAAGGAAATAAAGGTAAAACAGGCCAGGGGCGGTGGGTGTAGTGGGGGGGGGGGCCCACGGGTCCATATCAACTAGTCTCTCTCGTGTATATACCTTCCCGACGCCTCGTTTCGTATGATAGAGCTTAGGAATATTCCAACCGAGTGGTCAGGACTCTCATCTTGCTTCTAGAATTAAACGAAACTTCCATGCTTTCTCCGTACTTTCTCGTAGTCACTCGGCGCAACAACCTTTTCCAGCCCGCCGCTAGGAGTGAACAGAGCGCGCGTGTCGCCCCCTCGTGGTACCACTGTCTTTATTCGACTCTCTCGGTCTCGCCTCGTTCTCTCTCTCTCTCTCTCTCTCTCTCTCTCTCTCTCTCTCTCTCTTCGACTCTCTATGGAGGTCCGCTAGTGCGACTGGTTATTCCGCGCTCGACTTTTTTTTCCTCCCGAAATGAATTCACGTAACCTGGCTATCCCGGTTTGCAAGCCTCGGACGACGGCGCCACTGTCGCCCAGGGCTGTAGTGTACACCAGGAACCGTGTATGAGTTTCGCTAGGACTAAGGTGCTAACCATTAAATCTCTATGATATATATATGCATAATGGTAAATCTATATACCGTCTCTCCCAGGTTGCTCCTGACGGTCACCACAATGCACACCGGTCAATCCTGTCGATGATTTCAGGACTGAATGCCTAGAGAATGTCCGTTGCCTTTTCTATTATTCGGCCAGTAGCCGGTAACCGATCACTTTTCAAATTAATTTCAACGATCTCTATGGGCCGTGCTGATACGCGGATGAGGGCGAGGGATAAAAAGGGGGGGGGGCAGTTCGATTCAGCCCATCGCGACAACGTGAATTAGCCTGCCGTAAAATATTTTAAAAATTCCAACAAAAAAAATCCAATGAGCTTTACTCATTTTTTTTCTTCTTTCACGTAGTCCGATCAACGAATCCTTATATTCATCCGCGTATAACGATACGTCGGACGTCAAATCGTAAAGTCTGGATGATGTCCCGTCCGACGCCTCCGCGAACCGTTCGAGACCGTCGTAGTGTCTGCCATAGCGAAACTACAATTTTGCAGAGGCGAATGAGTATTCGTCATAGCCACTCGGTTCGTAGCCCTTGACCACGGTCAGTGTCGTCCTTGTACTCGCGATCGTCGTGGTCGTCGGCGTCGTCGTCGGTGATGACGCGTGTGCGAGGTAAAACTGTTGGTGGACGGGGGGGAGGGGGAATAGGAGGGGGGAGGTCTGCACGAAGAAGCAGCAGCAGGACCAGCCGTGTTTACAGGATAATACCCGTTGTGTGTCGCCGTAAAGTTTGGGCAAAGTTGAGAACCGTCGTGGGAGCCTGGGTAATAAAATGAGGGCCCCTGTTCTCCCCCGGGGGTGGGGCCCCCTCGATAACCCATATTGTACCCCCCAGCCCCGGGCTACTCCCTCTCACCGCCGCCCCTGGTCGTATATACCGGGACCGACCGGGCGAGTTTTGTCTCAGACTGACGTGCCAGAGGCAAATCTTCGTCATTGAACAATGGTCAGGCGGACGATGGGAAATTAGCGAAAAATGATGGGCCTGTTCGACGTAATTTTACAAAATTTCTGATATACGAATGACCTTGGTATTATCAGCGGTTTGGCTGTCGATTAATTTTACACGTAAATGCGAGAGGTGGATCGCGCTGACAGTACTTTTGCTGCGCGCTATATACACGATCATATACCACCCCTAGTCTCCCTCCCTCCCTCCTCGCCATCCTCCCCCTAACAACAGTAGGGTGGTACAGTCTTTGCGAAAAATCTCGTACCCCCCCGCCCTCAACTTCCACCTGGGTGGAGGGCGGGAGGGAGGGATCGGGGGGTACACACCGAGCTAAAAGTACATGGCTCTTAAATAAAATCGAGGATAGACCACTGTAAGAGGCGAACGAATATATTTCGCGCTTCAATGGAAACTACCTTAAGGCTCGTCGCTCGAAGCGCGTTTTGAATGGATTAACACGCGTGCGTAACGATTTTCTAGCAGCTCTCGAATAAATAAAATCAAATCGTACATAGGAAATGTCATTCGCCAAAATACCTTCTTTACTTTATCGCCTTTCGTATTGACGGTGCGGAGAGGACAGTTTTGAATTTCGCGGGCCCCGACCCTGTCGCTGCGACGCAACGACCGAACCAGCCTTAGCGATATGCCGTAATACATATTTTTCAATATTTCTCTCATTACTCTCTCCAGCTTTGTCTCTCGGTACTTCACCCTCTTGTCCTCTCTTGTGCTCTCTCCCTCCTCCGCTCCCTCCCCCCCCCTTCTTTCCTCCTCCTCGACGCTACGATCGATCGTAGTCGAGGCCTTTGATATTCGCCGACATCGCACGTACGCTTACGCCCCGTGCTCGCATTCCTATTTTCGCTGTGTTGTCCTCCTAATAGATGGACGGCTTTTCTTTTTTTTTTCGTACCCACTTTTGTTTTTTTACTATCTGACAAGTTTACCTTCTCGACAATACCCACCTCCCCCGTTAATAATTTCCCAGAGTCAATAACTTGGACCCGTAAAAACATTCAATTGGGACGAACCACGGACTCGCGACAGTTTGCTTTATTTGGCACGAGCCAATGGCTTACGCTCGAAATAAATCTTCGCGTAGATGCTAGAGGAAAGCGGGAGGCTGTAAAACGATTGTCGAGAGCCGTAGGCACACTCCATCTTGTCGTAAAGGTACGTACTATATATCAGCTGTCGTGCGTTTACTTTCGAAAAATCGGCAACGCTCGTCGTCGTGGACACCGACTCCATGGATGTCTAGTATTTTCCTTCGTTGGTATAAACTCCACGGTATCTCCCTCTCCACCAACCTTCCTCAACTTGCTGTTCCAGTGTACCCGGTGTAGATCCTTGTCCTGTTATTTACTCCCGTGTTATTCCTAGTCCTATCGTATGCGCCATACTGCTCCTATCCTAGCTACATCTACCGGCGTAAATAGGCAACTACTAAGTGAAACGTCTCGGGCGCATCGCTTCGACTTCGGTAGGCGTCCGTTAGATACGCACTACAACGACGGCAGGTGAAATATTGTTATTAAATTACTCAAAGAATGGTCGCGCCGATAATTAGCCGTGCAGTTAGTGTCGACAGGGAAAAGCCCTACGCGCCACGACAATTATTTATCAATCGCGCGGTGGTGTCCCTGCTAAATGGGACACGATTCATAAAATCGAGTGGCGCTACGGCGTACAACGGGGACGGGAGAGAATGGCGATAAATGCCCCGTGTGTTCTCTGTTGTGTGTGACGATGTACGCTTATAGAAATATACACGTATTTCGTACATGACCGTTTACGTGTTCCGTAGAGTTAACGTTAAACGACCGCTGTCATAGCTGAATTGTCAAATGCTCGAAATATCACGTAATCTGGTGAATACGTATATCTTTTTTGCCATTTAACTTTCCGGTTGTCTTTATCTTCAGAAATTGTCAATAAAGTTACTCGTGACTTTGACAGTTCCTTCCGAATGGGTGAGTGAAATACAGGAATCCCTTGTGGGACGTTCGCAGCGCCACCTGTGGAAAAATTTCAAAAACTCATATGGCGGAAATTGTGATTTCTCAAGACACTCCTTTCTTTCGAGTTACCTTCACAGTCACATAGGTTAATTATACTCGAGGGTTGTTCGTGACTGTTCTCTTACCCGCCGAGGTAGATGGAGCGAATAGAAATAAATGGCAATATGGGAAAAAGTGTCTTCGTCGACATTGTAAAATAATAAGACTGTAGGAAGATGCATAATTGAATGAAACGCGGGAAACAGAGCCAAGGGGTAGTTCTTCGTAAGGGTGAAATACTATAATTTCAAGCCAGACAGTCATGCGTTATTCAACATATACTCTCCCGCAACCCTTTCTGGCATCCTCGTACCTCCCACCTCCGCCTTTCTCCTACTCCTCACGAACCTAACCTTCGTGTCTCGGACTATTCCCACTACACAGCGTTACGGTACAGTACCTAACCACATTCACCCTCTCGAGACAAATCGACACGATATTATTATCGATGCCGCGATATTTCGCTGCTAAAAAATAAAATAAAATATACGTATCTAATATCTCGATTTCTTTTTTTATTTCTTATTTACATCCCTATCTCCTGTTACAGGAAAGCGACAACCTTTGGTGGGACGCGTTCGCGACTGAATTTTTTGAAGATGACGCCACCCTCACCCTTACGTTTTGCTTAGAGGACGGACCCAAGAGATATAGTGAGTACAACGCAAGTATACAAAATACCCTCTTCCGTACCATCGATCCTAGAAAAATTCATTTATCCACCCACCTCCTCCCGCCAACACGGCGACCATTGCTCTCCCGATATTGTTTCATCCACACCCCTTCTCGTTTCTTTCACTTATATCTCCACCCAGCCTTGTATCTTTCGTCGCATTACACACACTGCACGTACGTGTCGCGCGTATATTTGGGCAGCACGTGCGACCCTTCCAGCGAAGCGTCCAACAGTCGAGGGAAGTATATTACTTGGTAAAAAAAAAACAAGTTGCACCAAGAACAAAAAAAAGTGCAAAAAACAAGGAATGAAACAAGTAGACACTGAAATGACGCAAATATACCAGTTTACTGGATTTTCTTTTTTTTTCCATTACACTTACGTGTTTACATTTTGTCATTGTACGTCATTCAACGATACAGCTCACGTTGGAGCACGATCGTGACGTATTTGTCTTGTGCTCCTCGCGACGTTCGCTCACACGTAATATTTATTTGTCCGCCGTCGCGTTACGACAAATCGCTGCCTCGCGTCCTTCATTCCTGAAGACGATTATTTTCCTGTCCCACCTCGTGCCTGTAAGAGTCAGCGGCGACGATTGCGCAAGAAGTACTAACCAACTGCACCTATACCTTTTCAGCGATAGGAAGGACGTTAATACCTAGGTACTTCCGCTCGATATTCGAGGGCGGAGTGACGGAACTTTACTACAACATGAAACACCCAAAGGAGTCGTTTCACAATACCAGCATAACGCTAGACTGTGATCATTGCGTCATGGTCACGCATCATGGGAAGCCGACGTTTACGAAGGTAAGGAAATACCAAGAATTTTACTTCTGATGTAACGTAGCCAAGACTTTTGGTAGAATAGATGAAAAAAAAAAAAAAAGTATTTCCCCACGTCTCGCGCCTATGCGTGGAGGAACCCGGTTCGACAGTTGATTGTACTCGATTTTGTCATTTCAGGTGTGCACGGAAGGTAGGCTAATACTGGAGTTCACGTTTGATGATCTCATGAGGATAAAGTCGTGGCACATGTCTGTAAGGACGCATCGAGAATTGGTACCACGGGCGGTAGTGGGTCTGCACACTGCTCAGCAGGATCCAACGGCGCTGGAGCAGCTGACCAAAAACATCACCAGGCAGGGAATCACAAACTCAACCCTGAATTATCTTAGGGTACGCATGTCATCTGTTCGGCTTAGATCCTTGATCAAGGTTAGCCTTGTGAAAGTCGTCCACCGTTCCACCGGGGTCCTGACACTTTCACCAGTGCCAGCTCGGCTGACACGACCTCAGCTCTTGTTCTGCTTTTTTTTTCTTTAACTTTTGGTCTCTGATGGACCAAGAAAATCTCCACGCTCCACTAATTCATGGTCTGTGATCATCTTTGCAGTTATGCGTCATCCTTGAGCCGATGCAGGAACTGATGTCGAGGCACAAGGCTTACGCACTGTCGCCCCGGGACTGCCTCAAGACAACCCTGTTCCAGAAGTGGCAAAGGATGGTTGCCCCGCCGGGTAAGAGAGGTAGACGGACAGTTGCTTTACATGAGAACCACCAGCCAGTGGAGCCAGCTACTACTACAATCTTGTTGCGAACTGTGAACCCACGTATATCGGTTATCGGGTGATTGAATTCCGCTCCACGTCAATGCACATGAAACTTGGTTCCAAGTGACTTTTTTTTTTTCTTGTACTTTTGTTTTTCTTTTTTTTTTGTTATTCTTACATTGGTATGCTTGTCTCGCGAGAGTGCCGAGGTTGCATGTTATAAATGTATTCTTTAATTCAATTAATTTGATGAAATTTTTATTTTTATTCTCGTCTTACCAGACTCAACGATGATCTTGCTACCGGAGGTCACGTATTATTAAAATATATCACTAAACGAGGTTATTTAACATCTTTGTGTATCTATTGGCGGAATTTTTATATCGATCAGAATCGCCTGACTGGGCAATTGGCGAAGGCAAGACGTAGATAAGAATGTATCGGCAAGGTCAAGAGAACTCTGGAACCAAGTCCACATGGCACAATGCAATGTTACTGCGAGCGTGCTTAACTGTTAATATTAAAAGTGCAAGAGATATACGTAGCGTGCGAAGACGTAAAGTATCTATCTGTCGCTGCATGTGTGCCTGTGTAACTAACAAGCATATGTCAGAGACCTTTGATTTAAAGAAAGGTCCACAGCTGGGTAGTGATATTGTATTAGTATATGCTTAGCGCCACTATGGGTGCCTACGCCGAAGGTATTCTCAATGGAGATTTTTATATTGCAGAGTCCCAGAGACCGGCGAGTAAGAGAAGAAAGCGGAAGGGCAGTACCTCGGGTCCGGGTAACAACGCCCCACCGGCGCCAAGTAAAAAAAGATCACCCGGGCCGAACTTTTCCCTGGCGTCTCAGGTGATTATGGGCTAATTGATAGTCATTTGAAAATGGATACGCTTGTAGTACGAGTATTTAATGTTCTTAACCTTGTACCTTACGATTTGATTGAACAGGACGTGATGGTCGTGGGTGAACCTTCTCTGATGGGTGGCGAATTCGGTGACGAGGATGAACGGCTAATCACGCGGTTGGAAAACACGCAGTACGATGCGGCAAATAGCTTAGACGCTCACAGTCACGATACCTCGGGGGGACCGCCACCGCATCCTCACCAATTTCATTCGGAACCAACCCCCGGAAACTCCTGGCCACCCGATCGCGGTCCAGGACCGCCACAGGGAGGACCTGGCAGTCAGGTAAGCGAGCGACGACCTCCTTCGAGGTAACGATGCTGTCTTCAGTGTTGTTCATACATTCGTATCACGTTTCAGGGTGTTCAGGGCTCGCAAGGTGGCGCAGGGGCTGGTGTACAGGGATCACAAGACGCCAATCAACAACAGCAAGACAAGAAAAGCCCCGCGGTGAGCCAGTGAGGCCAGGAGTCCCCGCGCCCCCCCACCAGGGGGCGACGGGGGCGCAGGCCCAAAAATGTGGCTCCCTAGCGGGGCGAGAATCCTAACCTCCCCACATCCTACCTGACGTCCCCAACCACGCGACTCTCGCAAGTCGGTGTTCTTCCGCTTGCCCACGCAGGCCTACCTGGCCACGTCGAGCACGCCCAGCTCGGTCCTACTTCCATAGGGATGGAACCCTCGGAGTTGGCTCATGCCCAGCAACAACTGCTGGCGGAGTCTGGACCGGGCACGATGCTGTCGCCATCTGCTCAGCCTACTGGTGGAGGCTTGACGCAGTCGCTTCAGCAGGGACAGGGCCATGTCCAAGGTCAGGATCCCTTGCAGAGCTTGGTGCAGCAGCTACTCTATCTACAGCAGCTCGAGTATCTTCTGGCTCAACGAGGTCACATCTGATCTACGGAAACGAGTCCACGGGGGACTTCTTCTAACATCCTCAACGACATTTCCTCGATGCTCCCTCGACAAGAGGACACCGCGCTTCCGTCAAGTTTTTGAAGGATGATCCTGTCCGTTCGTCGTACCTCTTGAACATTTTAATGGACCTCCGGTGCAGATCTCTCGTGTACCGCAAGATGGACTACGTCAGAGTTGCTCTCTGAAGTTTTATCGAGGCACCAAGAGGTTGATAGGTCCGCGTGGTCCTGGCACAGGATTCTAGCGAACGGACTCTCGATTAGCCAATTGATACGGGAGATTAAGCGTCCACGTATCCTGCGCTCAGGAAGAGTCCCGCGAGGATGATATTAAGTGATCGCTCGACTGACTCTGCTGCTTCGGGATACCGCTTATGGACGGGCAGCGCGCGAGAGAGTGAGCGTCTTTTTCTTTTTCCTTTTTAAAAGCGTGTGATAATACGAAAGAAGTGACTCAGTGAGACAAAACGAAGAGAATCGAAAATTATAACTGAAAAAGGTTAACGCGAAATGAATGTACGCCACGTCGCAAGAGACGATTTCCGCTCTGGCGCGAGCTGTGAATGAATCTCTATCCGTCAACAGTATTGATATAATTATAGAGTAAATGAATATAATATTGTAAGAGATCTAGCGTAAGTACGTATTGTGCAAACGTGCGTGGAAGAGCGAGCGAGAGAGAGAGAGAGAGAGAGAGTGTGTGAACGAAAGGAAAAAAAAGAGTGAACCGAGAAAATGGAGAAAGATGCGTGAATGAGAAATCTTGTGCAAACGTGCGTGGAAGAGCGAGCGACGTCAACAGTATTGATATAATTATAGAGTAAATGAATATAATATTGTAAGAGATCTAGCGTAAGTACGTATTGTGCAAACGTGCGTGGAAGAGCGAGCGAGAGAGAGAGAGAGAGAGAGAGTGTGTGAACGAAAGGAAAAAAAAGAGTGAACCGAGAAAATGGAGAAAGATGCGTGAATGAGAAATCGTAGAAAAATTGAGAACGACAGAATGAGAGAGAGAGAGAGATAAAAGCGCAAAGTGAAAGAAAGTAATATGAGCGTGAAAGAAAGTTAAGCCAAGGTGAGGAAGTAGGAGAGCGCGAAGGAAAAAAAAGTCACTATAAAAGTGCAAAAGATCCATTGATTACAAACGCACAATCCCTGACCGTCGTGAAGACTCGAAATTATTTTTACTCCCTTACTTTTTTATCCCATATATTTGAAACCTCGATTAACGCCAACCTCCCATGGGTATCTTCCTTATCGCCAAGCATAGAATCTTCTATTTCCCCTCGCCTCTTCCCTCGTCCTCGCCTCTTGTTACCGAGGCAGCGTTTCAGTCGTGCGCATGTAATCTTAACAAAAGGTGCGCGCGCATGTCGTAGCGATTGTAAAGGACGCCGCTCCAAAAACGAAACAGCTCAAAAAGCGACAACAGCTGTTAAGCGATGACCGCAAAAGTTACAGCCTCAAACATTGTTATCAGTACCAGGCAACGTCAAGTGTCACGCAATTTTCGTTACTCCCAACTTAATCAGATCCGTTCCTAACCTGTAATTAACGACAACGTAACTTCAAAGCCATTTCGATACTTAACACTTTTCAATTAATCTAAACGTCGATCCATCGAAACACAAAAACTCGAAACTCTCTTCTATTGTATATACGTCAACCAAAAGTTGTAACATGACCCGCGCATTCGTGACGACCAGACAAAACTTTGGACAGTGCTTGTGGTGATCTTGGTATACAGCAATATATATATTAATATATATATATGACACGCACGCGCGCACGCACATACACACGCTCTGATCACTTTTATATTGTACAAAGTTCCTTGCGCGTTACGTTAAACACATTGTATATGTTCCTCGTTGTATTTGTTCCTATTTTTCTACTTCGCGACGCATTGTGTTTTATCGTTTTACCAGATCTCTCTCTTTCTCTTTCTCCCTCCCTCCGTCACACAGAAAGCACTCGCATACTCTTAAGACCTCTTTCTAAATACCCAATTGCGGATTCTCAACGGGTAGGCGCATCGTATACGCAGTGCGATAAGACATCGATTAGACGCGCGAGAGGGAGAAAAAGGATGAAATCGTTGACAACGTTGCCTCCTACAGCGACAAAATCCACACCCGTATATACATATATATTATACGTATATAGACGCTGCACATTGGATCACCACACTAGCGACACACAGCGGAACTTTTGACAAGTCTTTGTATTTTCGAACCGGGTCCGCTTAGCGAATACGATGACAAATTTACATTTTCTAATCGAATAACTTAATTCTATCGTTAATCATAATCGTGTCCCGAATCAATTTTTACCGTGACATCATTTAGTAATTTTACTGTTCAACTATTTGGCGATCCGAAAGACTCGTTTTTAACAACGTCCTCGTATCCGTTTACACGAAACAGCGCAACAGCCTGGAGACTCGTGCATGTAGGGAATATCCAAACAGAATCTTCTTTGTCGCTTCCCTCCCCGACACGGAGACGTCATCCAATACTTTGGATGACCCGATATCGTCACGTGTCACTTAAAAGCGTCGACTCGTCGAAATGGCAATTCGCGTTGCCGGTCGTTTATACTTTTCGATTACGTATATAAGAGGGGGATATGCATAAGAGACAGCGTTAGCTTATAGTCCAGAGAGAACACGAGACACCTATAGGTACGGGCTTATTATTATTATTACAATAATTTTATTATTATTATTAATTATTAATATTATTATTATACACAGTGGACACGGGAGGTTTCATATGAACGGTTATGGGAATAAGCAGAGACCCATTACGCGCGTTTACACTCATCATGTACACACTTATACATATTATATATACACACGTCATGAATTAGTTGGATAAGGACACGCGTGAAGCCAGTACAGTCCCACAGCGCGAGTGTTTTGCGTGAAAGTAGAAATGTCTAATGTTGGCTGAGTCTGTATTCCTGCGTGCGTCCTGTGAGCGCACGTGTCACGTTCCTTTGGGAATGAAGTGCGGAATGAATGGTAATGAGAGAATGTACGATTGGGAGAAAGTATGAAACGTGAGCGAGCGAGCGAGAGAGAGAGAGATAGAGAGTGGACACGTATCGTTTGATTGGTGTGCATGAGAAAAATAGAAAGAAAAAGAGAGAGAGAGAGAGAGAGAGAGAGAGAGAGAGAGAGAGAGAGAGAGTGAATGCGTAAGAGCACGATGGAGCGAGTGATTTCGACACGAGCATGGTGGGTTTTAGGATAAATGATTTATTGACAAATGTTGTATATTATTACGAATTATAATGACACTATTATAATTAATTAATGAATTATTATACTATAATAATGTGAATTGAATTTAAACAAAAAATACATAAATGATAAGTAATAGGAAATTTTTAATTGTTAGCGAAAGCACACGAGGAGCCGCCATTTAAATACGAACCGCCTAGTTTGACTTGAAGATAGACTAACGACCGATTCCCTCGTAACGGACGTGAAATGCGCGCGCTTTTTGAAAAAGTCATTCGGAGCCCGTACAGGAAGATGCTCTCGCGTGATTCGCTTTTGTCGCGTCTGCGAGTGACGCGGGTCGTTAAGAAAGGAAATGGAAAATTTTTTTGTTGTAAAAAGTGCATTACCAAAATATCGATACTTCTCGTGTCGACTGTACACGGTCTGTAATTTATTGAACTGTCGATCATTTTACACTGATCCATGGTCGGTACTGTCGTACATCGAAGACTTCACTATTTTCAATAATGGCGGGTCCAGTCACGGGTTCAAATTTGTCAGTTTGCTCCTCTTCGTTAAATGTCCTGAATTTTGTTACTGAAATTCCATCGGGGATCTGCAATTGCAAAATTGATCGCAGCGTCATTCGATTGCCGTGTATAACGTACTTGTAAATAAATCCATAAATTATTTTTCCCATTCTTCTAACTGTGTTAAAGAACTTTTCGAGTCTCTGCGGTATCGATGTTATGTTGCAATTTACTTAAAGACCATGTTCATGCCGAAACTCTTTTGCGGCCAACAAGCTGACGTCGTCGCGCCTCTCAAATTTGGAAATGCACTTTTGCGACCGCAAGATACCAAAAAGATGTCGACATCGATCACGCGGGTTAATGCCGGTAGCGTCCACGCCGGAAGTGTCAATTGCTGGAATTGTCGATGAATGGTTTGGAATTGCAATTCGACCGAATTTCGCCATCGAATTTTTCTCATCCTAATCATCCACCTCAGTCCTCTTACCCCTCATCAGCAACCCCTTAAATCTAACCACGGTGTCCATCCATTCAAGCCATAAGTCATCGAGTCCCGTTTCGCCAGTTCCCATGAATCGAAAATCATACAAACTAGTTTTAAAATATGTAATGAGAGAAAGAGAGAGAGAGAGTGTGAGAGAGAGAGAGAGAGAGAGAGAGCGAGAGAAGTGATAAAATGAACGAAGTGAAAAACAATGACAATTACAATTAGTAGAAATATTGAAAGTATCAATCGCGATGATGGACGATTCCTCGTCGTGGGAAAGCCAAAATGGATCGCCCCTCCCTCCCCCAAAATTATTCATTCAGATGATCGCTTCGGTTTTTAAAATTACTAATGATTGCGTACACACTCTAAATGATTTTTATCACTGATACGATTCAACGTGACGAATGGTTCACGCGATTTTTCTTCTTTGCTCTACATTCTGTTCGACCCCATCCCGTTCGATGACGACTAGGATCATTGACGACGACAGTGATGTTTAATGACGATGATGACGATAATGATGATACGAATGATGATGGTAACGATTACTATTATTCTTATTATTACTATTATTATTAACATGTTTTCAAGCAGTGTACAAATAAAATTTCCAATCACTTAACATCTCTATGCCGATTTACATTCACTGCGACAATTCGCGAGACGTCGTCTTAACTACCGAGTCCACGATCCAAAGGGATCGGCGGATCGCGGAAAAAAAAAACATTGCCGATCCCTTTGTCGTTGACGGAAATAATATTGAAAATCGAAACGATCGATCAGATTTTTTTTCGTACACGTATATGCCATATATCACATATATGGGAAATGTCGTCGGATCATCACGGTCTGATCGATCCTCGATCGGAAATCATTTCAATCGCACTTCCGGCACGATCTGACCGATCGGTATCGCAAAGCCCTAAAGTCGGAAGTATATCCCCCATACGAACCGGACTAATCGCGAGGTTCATCCTCGCTTTTTACTATACCCGTGGAGCTGCTGCACGATTTTCCATATTTAAGTTTTTGGTATTTTCAAGCCGCGTGTCGCCATTTACGTCCCATCAGGATTCGGCATTCAGTACGAAGGGCCTGGAGTACATCTTGGCTCAGGGACAAAGCATGGGTTGTTGTATAGCGTTCGATAGGGCTATTCGAGGCCTTTCGACTGGCAGAGCCGAATTCTTGTGAAATTATTTGTTCGATTATTATCATTATTATTATCAGTTAACTTCGTTAAGCTTCAACTTCGAACACTCAAATCTCGATACATCCCTGTATATACGGTGTCGTTGCAAACGGGACGTATGGGATTCGTCGCCGTCATTTTAAGCCGATTAATATGTCCTGGTGCACAAGGACTCAGCATGACTATTCTGAAAAGAGAAGGTATTTGTAATCATTTTTTATAAACGGTCAGTCTTGCATGGAATATTGTGAAAAATGTGCCAGTCGTCGTACCGTCTTTCCTTGAGCGACATTACTTAATTACAAAGTGAAAAAGAAAAGTTTTAAATGCTGGCAGACATTGCTTATTCGCCCTGCCAAGTTCAGACGATTTTTTCGAGTTCAACGAATGGGTCCTATGACGTAATGGGTCAGTGATACGTCACAACGAGCCGAATCGTTCGTATCGGGAATTTTTTTTTTCTATTTTATTTCTCCTTTCTTTTTTAATTTTTAATATAGTGGCTAAGTACGGGATACGTGCTCTGTTAATTTGTGGTGGGGGATGCTGACGGGGGTGTTGGTGTAAGGAATACCAAAGTGTAAATAAAAAATGAAAAAATGTGTGCGTGTACTCGATTGGGACTGTTCTGTTCGTTGGAGTGAATATATATATATATATATATATATATCTATATATCTATATATATTGTTGTCATCTGAACTTGGTTGGGTTTACGTGGCTGTGGTGGACTGTTCTGTTCGTTGGAGTGACGTGCTCTGTTAATTTGTGGTGGGGGATGCTGACGGGGGTGTTGGTGTAAGGAATACCAAAGTGTAAATAAAAAATGAAAAAATGTGTGCGTGTACTCGATTGGGACTGTTCTGTTCGTTGGAGTGAATATATATATATATATATATATATATCTATATATCTATATATATTGTTGTCATCTGAACTTGGTTGGGTTTACGTGGCTGTGGTGTCCGTATAAGGAAAAAAAAAAGTAAAAGAAAAATTAAAGAAAACAGTTCTCGATCAGCACGATGGCCAATCGCTAATACTGGACCAGTCTTGAGCGACGAACGTGCACCGATTATAGTGTATAAAATAATAGTGAATTAGGGGTGATTAATGCGAACAAGGATATACATTTACCCTCTAAGTGGATATGAGCCAGCTCGGTATATTATATTAATATACATTCAAAGTTGGCTCATCGCCATGACCAATAAAATAATAAGAAATTATCATCTAATTACATTTTTACGCACTCCAAATTTTTATCCTCGTCATTTGTATCATAGCGACATGTGTTTAAAAATCAACATTATATGTATGTAATCAAAATTGTAACTGAGAAAAACGTTAATAAAAAAAAAGATATTCCAAAGCGTTATGCTTATGTATTTTATAACCTGTTATCCGTTTTTATTCTCATGCTCAGTTTTGCCTCTTTTGATATGTATGTATCCATTGGAAGACATCTTGAATTAATATAAAAACTTAGAAAGGACCTTTCAAGACGTATAAGTTATTGGTAAGGGCCATGGAAAGGACTGTACTATAATACATTCTTGACTCTGCGCACTAGTTACTTAGTGAAACTGAAATACAAACTTGTAACGACTCCAGGTGATTACATCACGTTTGCTTTAAATTTCCGGAACATACGACATATCCTAGCTGACTAGTCGTTGAACGAATATTTTTCACTGTTTTTCACATTGACAGTCATATCTAAATTTATATTTAGATATTTTACGCAGTATCTAGTTTTGGGACTGTAAACAATTTATTATTTAACCGGTATTTTTTATTATTTCCGTAATGAGTTTGACTAACCTCTGTGGAACGTTCCCGACGATTCTACAGAAATAGGTGGTGGGGGTTCTATTTAAAAGCCCATTGGCTCCTACCACAGTAACCAGTCGATCATTGGCTAGATCAAAGTGCGTGTCGCTTCGCCGGTAGAGCATCCATATAGTGCGCGCAAAAGTTGCGCACCAGTCTTTACGGGAGTTGCATCACTACACGTGAAGTCGGTCCTTCGCGTCTCCATTTGATTTCTTGCTGAATTTCATAAAAATACGATAAAAATGTTGGCCGCCGCAAGATTATTGAGTCGCAACTGCACGGGTATCAAGTGTGATATTACGAGGAGACAACAGTTCAGCACTTTGTTTAAAAATGTAAGTTTTTGAGGAGCAGCGAGCCATTCTCTACACTGCCGTCTCAGGCGTTTCCAATCTTTAACTCTTTTTCCACATGTCCTTGAAATACGTTACTTATTTATTTATTACGAGATTCGTGTTGATTTCGATTTTTGAAATTTCTCATACATTCTTGTTGTTGAAGTAATCGTATTGAATACGATTTACTGCCATGGAAGCGTCTCGTTTCCTCGAGAAACCGGCACGCCACCGCGTTACATGCTGCATCATTGGATATTTCCGTTCTGTTATTGTAGAATATTTATCATATCACAGAATTGTTTTTCACAGAATAAAAACGCAGTCCTGTTTTAGAATTCGACTGTCGAATTCAGTATCTTGTTATTTTTAGCTATATATTGTAATCGTGGTCATTATGTACTCATGATTTCTTTTGGACCCACGTGATTTAATATGGAGTTATTCTGTATCTCGTACTTTCTTTATATGGAATTAGAACCATTGTTAGAATAATCTATAGTTTTACAAAGTTTATATAGGCACTGTTCAATCTTATGAATCAAGAATCTTTTGGAATGTTTATAATTATGTGATGAATATATTTTTTTAAATTATAGGCTGCTGCTCCAGTATCCGTGGTCCAAAAGCCCATGGATTTGCAACAGTACCGTTATAAGTAAGTATATTGTTCTATTGCATATATCGTGCCTTATGGAAAAGCAACATCTATATTTGTAGTTTGGTAGTAACCTTGCATGTTATTTTTTCACATGGTTAAATTAGATATATTGAATTCCTCAAAATTACTTAAGTCTCACCTCATGCATAAGACTCTAATACAAATAGAAAATAATAAATCCCATTAATTATTAACCTGTAATGTCCAATCAGATCAGAAGGTGTGAAGGGTGCAGTGATTGGTATAGATCTTGGTACAACATTTTCCTGTGTGGCGGTAATGGAAGGCAAGCAAGCTAAGGTTATTGAGAATTCAGAAGGTTCAAGAACGACACCATCCTATGTTGCATTCACAAAAGGTTCGCCACTGATATGTATATTCCCAATAGTCATATTTTCACAAATACATGTGCATGCTGTGTTGAAATTATACCATTACTCAGTATATTTCTATACCCACCCAAATAATAACCTATAATTTTAGATGCAGAGCGGTTGGTCGGTATGCCAGCTAAGCGTCAAGCAGTCACCAACTCTGCAAATACCTTCTATGCCACAAAACGTCTCATTGGACGTAAATTCGATGATCCTGAAGTGAAGAAAGAGATGTGAGATATGAATGAAATAACTTTAATATCTTTGATTCAATAAAATGTTCTAATATTAAATATTCTCCGTCATAGGAAAACTGTGTCATACAAAATCGTACGTGCTAGCAATGGTGACGCTTGGGTTCAGGGCAGTGACGGGAAAATGTATTCGCCAAGTCAAATCGGGGCCTTCGTTCTCATGAAAATGAAGGAGACTGCTGAAGCCTACCTCGGTCAACCTGCGAAGAATGCAGTTGTCACCGTTCCTGCATATTTCAATGACTCTCAGCGACAAGCAACCAAAGATGCCGGACAGATAGCCGGTCTTAACGTTCTTCGAGTTATTAACGAGCCGACTGCAGCTGCTCTTGCTTATGGCATGGATAAGACTGACGATAAAATGTAAGTATAAAACATTAACTTCACTCAAATATTTGAATCAATGTGTGATATTAGTTTACTATGATGTTTTTATTTTTCGTCTCTCAATGGCTACCAGAGAGTAGTGCTTATATGTGGACAAAATCTACTGAGTTTCTCTATTATCAATTCTTAATAAATAAATAATAATTTACAAATCTCTAGTTAAAACCTTCTGTTTATAAACATTTCAGTATTGCTGTTTACGATTTGGGTGGTGGTACCTTCGATATTTCTGTTCTGGAGATTCAGAAGGGTGTCTTTGAGGTTAAGTCCACTAATGGTGATACGTTCTTGGGTGGTGAGGACTTTGATAATGCTTTGGTCAACTACTTGGTCAAAGAATTCAAGAAGGATGTATGTACTTCGTTACTATATTACATCGATACTGATTAATATTATTTAATTTTAATGTTCAATTTTTTATTGTAGCAAGGAATTGATGTTACCAAGGATCCTATGGCCATGCAACGATTGAAAGAAGCTGCCGAAAAGGCGAAAATCGAATTGTCCAGTTCCCTGCAAACAGATATCAACCTTCCGTACTTGACAATGGATTCCAGTGGACCGAAGCACTTGAATCTTAAACTTAGCCGAAGCGTTTTTGAGAATCTCGTCTCAGACCTAATTAAGCGCACTATACAGCCATGCCAGAAAGCACTGTCCGATGCTGAAGTATCCAAATCAGACATCGGCGATGTTCTCCTCGTAGGAGGAATGACCAGAATGCCCAAGGTTCAGCAGACAGTACAAGATATTTTCGGGCGACAGCCATCAAAAGCTGTGAACCCTGATGAAGCTGTTGCAGTTGGTGCTGCTATTCAGGGTGGAGTACTCGCTGGTGATGTCACGGATGTTCTTCTTCTTGACGTCACTCCACTGTCTCTGGGTAAAGATCTTAATCATATAATATTTATTATTTTTATCAGAACATAGGATGATGCTAGTATACTAATCTTCTCTCTGATTCCATGAGGACAATGACCACTGACATATCAAATTCCCTTAAATCTTATTGACGTAACTCACCCAGTGCACTTAAAGCCTTATATATTTTTGTACAGGTATCGAAACACTTGGCGGTGTGTTCACCAGGTTGATTTCCCGTAACACCACCATTCCCACAAAAAAGAGTCAAGTCTTCTCCACCGCGGCTGACGGCCAGACTCAGGTCGAAATTAAAGTTCATCAGGGTGAGCGAGAAATGGCCTCCGACAATAAACAACTGGGTCAGTTTACCCTCGTAGGCATTCCTCCTGCACCCAGAGGAGTACCACAGATTGAAGTTACCTTCGATATTGATGCCAACGGTATCGTACATGTCTCCGCTAAAGACAAGGGAACCGGCAAAGAACAGCAAAGTATGTTGTACTTATTTTTTTTCCTACTTAATTCTTATAGATCGCATTTACATGATGTGCATATTTTTCGTCACCTAATACTATTTATACAAATCAATAGCACCTGTGGATAAACTTTACTGAATGACAAGAATCAATCTTTGATCCTTGTACTATCCAAAAAAGCTATAATTATTACAAATATGATTCTTTGGATTTCAGTCGTTATCCAATCAAGTGGTGGATTGAGCAAAGACGAAATCGAGAACATGGTAAAGAACGCCGAACAATATGCAAAGGAAGACAGGATCAAGAAAGAAAGAGTTGAGGCAGTGAACCAGGCTGAAGGAATTGTTCATGACACCGAAGCCAAAATTGAAGAATTCAAATCACAGCTGCCCCAAGACGAGGTACGTTACCTTGACAAACCATATTCGTTCTCTAAATTTTTAATGACAATCAAATCACATAAAAATGATGCCTTGTGATTATAGTGCGAAAGGCTCAAGGGTCTCGTCGAAAAGCTCAAAGAAACTCTTGCTAAGAAGGATAGCATGGATCCTGAAGAAATCAAAAAGGAAACCAATGAGCTTCAACAGGCCAGCCTTAAATTGTTCGAGATGGCATACAAGAAGGTAAGCAAGCAATTACAAAACTTGTTAAAAATATATTTCTTAAATCTCACATTAATCAATTTAATTTGACATTATTCATTCAGATGGCTGCTGAACGCGAGGGAAGCGGAGGTAGTCAGAGCTCACAGGAACAACAACCGCCTGAGGGTGAGAAGAAGGAGGAGAAGAATTAAATATAATCGTACAATTAAATTGTCTAAAATCAGACACGTCACCGCGTAACCAATGTGGAATTCATTGATCGTCAACGTCGTTCAATCTTTTTAACTATTCAAGTTACAGGGGTTCGAAAGGAAATAATATAATAAGATCAGTATCGTTGTCGCACGTATACCAAAAACTCTAGTATGTATAATAATACGTACGCGCCTTCCTTATACATTCTAACCTAACTTTAGATAGCCGACGATTCAGTGAATCCATACCCGGTTCGTAAAACAAAATTAGTCATTACTCGCAGAGATATAAGATCATTCAATTTCACAATGAGGCTCTTCCTACATAAGATCAGTAAAAATTCTCAGGGATACTGATCGTCTTTGGGTAGCCCATGATCTTTTTTTTATTTTAATTATCAAAAGACAATTACTAAAAAAAGAATCTTTTGGTTCTCAGAATGTCCTTCGTTTACATTTGGCAGTTCAACATTAAATTCTGCGACGTATGCACTACTTACTAGTAAATTAATATTACTTCATATTATTCGTAAATCTAGAATAACAAGCATTGTAGCGAAAGCAAATTGTCATGTATATTGTGTACATAATGTGCCGTGTGAATTGGATCGATTTTTTTGACTGTATCAAGAAAGGATCCAGTTCCTTTGAAAAGCCTCGTCATCGTCAGAACAACGTTAAGAATTTAATGTGTAGGCTGATAACGATGACATTCTTATTCCCATGTAAGCGACCACACAAAGAGGTGAATATCTGTTTAAATCAGATAAGTTCTAATTTTTTGTGCTTAAAGTATCCTCTTCGTGTGGTTAAAATTTTCTCACGCATAGAAGAAAATTGGGATGAAAGAAATAGTAAAACCTATCCAGTGTGAATGGGACAAAGCCTCTGTGAAGGAGGTCCAAGAAAGAATGAGAAAGAAAGCGTGTTACTAGAATGTAGCCAACATAATAGAATAAGCAAAAACAATACTGTAGAAATACTGTATAAGAAATATCTGTCGTACTATTGTCTCGTTTAATCCAGTCCAAATTTTTTTATTTACAATATCTACGGAGCAAAAAACTTCTATCCTTCAAGTTTTCGTTGTGTTTGTTGAATAAACAGTTTTAAATTTAATATATCTGCAATCTCATGGGCTCACTTGTTGATCAAGGTATTTCATTAGTTTTTTTAAATATTGTCCAGTAATATTACATGCATTATCATGCGATAAGCTTGGATCATAAATATAACACCCACAGGTGAGTAGAGACATGCACAATGCTACGGTTTTAGACTACAAAGATGATCAGGGAGATGCATAACGCTCCAGTTTTAGGCGATACCAAAATTATAGCGCTAAATCGTAGCGGCAAGTCTGGAAGTAGCATTTTGTGATCATCGCGTCCGTCGACAATGCGAATCCCGTCGTAGCCGAGCTAAACGTGAACACGAACGCGTAGCTTGGCGGGCAGAGGTTCTCCGCTACTCACCGCTGGTTCCCAAAGCAACTCAGACCGAGACCGGGAACTATAGAACTTCTTAAGAAATATTCAAAAAGCCTATTGTTGAAATATTTTAAAGATATTTTTAAGAAAGTGCGGTGTCAACTTGTCACCCGTGTAGCACCTCCATTTTTACTAAATATTATAGGACCTTGATTTACTTTCAAAATTTATTCAAAATATGAAATTGAGGTTAAATCAAGATCTCGCAGAATATAGGGAGTAGATAAAATTTGAATTGAAATTGTAGAATATCGAAAATAAATTACATTCAAATTGAAATATTAAAAAACTAAGTGTTTGTAACATTAAAATAATTAATTAAATCAATAAAGTAAAATATTAACACTTAAAACCCGGATATTCAGGCCAAGCATATTTAGAAATACTGGAAGTTGCCCAAAAATGTGTGCGCGCAAATTCGTCACGCAGGACTCGGCGAGCGAGAGCAGCCGGGGAGTGGGGGCAGCGCTAAAGGCAGTGCCCGGACTCGGAGCGCTCATTCTTCCTCGAGCCGGTCTCCTATACTGGTCTCTCGGAAGCACCTCTCATATTCATTTCCAATTTCTTCCTATTTCTATATTTATTTCTTCTCTACTTTCTTCTTACCTTATCTGTAATTCTTTACTTTCTTATTTATCCCTTTCCTTATTTCTACTTTACTTTTATAACTTTATTCCTTACTTTTCTACTTCTTTACTTCTTCATTTCTATATTCATTTTTTTCTTATTATCTTATTCTCACTTCTTCATTTCTATATCCATTTACAACCTTCTTCTTCCATATTTATTTCTTCTTTAATTCCTTATTCCCTTATATTCTTATTTATCTTTTTCTTCATTTCTTTCTTTGCGTTTCGCTTTGTTCCCTCTCACTGTCCATTGTGTTTGTCTTACTTTTCCTATTCCTTTGGTCGGGTCGAGCATATTAATTCAAGTAGTGATATAAGAATAGTCATCCGGTTAGTGCAGCTAGACTTAAGACCATGGTGTCGGGGGTTGCCCTTCCGCCTCATCCGCTGAGCTTGCTCAGTGGTTGGTGGCCCAAGTTGTGGCCGCAACAGGACCTTATGGGTCTCCCGACGGGGGCCTTGAGCCCCCTTAGGGTATCTACGGCCATGGTCTTTCGTATAGTGAATCTAGCCAGGTGTCTAGTTCTCGCGTATTTAGTATAATTTGTTCGCTTTGCTAAAAACGCTCCAACATGTCTTGACCCTTGGGCACTTGTGTGGGTAGAGACGATCCTATTTGTCCGTGGGGAGGTCGGAGGGGTAGTCCGTTGACTTTGGGTAAAGTCCTACTTGTGCTTGTGCTTGGGGGTCACTTCACTTGGAGTAGGTGCGGGTGCTATTGAGCACCCGCTAGTATAAAGTCACCCTCTGTCGGAGACATTTTGCGCGGGGATCGATGGCTAACGGGGCCCGCCGCCGGCGGCGGGCGTGGTTCCTTACGTCTAACCCACTGGGCTTGCCCGTGGGAAGGGACGGAGGTTGTAGCGTTAAATATCGTCCTTCGGGATGTCCCGGCGTGCCCGCAAGGGTACCGCCGGGTGCTACGCCCGCGGTCTTTCGTTGCGGTGAATCTTGACTAAGGGTAGACCTTTCGCGTTTAACTTGTCCCTTTGCGCGTTTAACTTATCTTAGCTTTTTCGCGTTTAACTTATCTTAGCTTTTTCGCGTTTAACTTATCTTAGCTTTTTCGCGTTTAACTTATCTTAGCTTTTTCGCGTTTAACTTATCTTAGCTTTTTCGCGTTTAACTTATCTTAGCTTTTTCGCGTTTAACTTATCTTAGCTTTTTCGCGTTTAACTTATCTTAGCTTTTTCGCGTTTAACTTATCTTAGCTTTTTCGCGTTTAACTTATCTTAGCTTTTTCGCGTTTAACTTATCTTAGCTTTTTCGCGTTTAACTTATCTTAGCTTTTTCGCGTTTAACTTATCTTAGCTTTTTCGCGTTTAACTTATCTTAGCTTTTTCGCGTTTAACTTATCTTAGCTTTTTCGCGTTTAACTTATCTTAGCTTTTTCGCGTTTAACTTATCTTAGCTTTTTCGCGTTTAACTTATCTTAGCTTTTTCGCGTTTAACTTATCTTAGCTTTTTCGCGTTTAACTTATCTTAGCTTTTTCGCGTTTAACTTATCTTAGCTTTTTCGCGTTTAACTTATCTTAGCTTTTTCGCGTTTAACTTATCTTAGCTTTTTCGCGTTTAACTTATCTTAGCTTTTTCGCGTTTAACTTATCTTAGCTTTTTCGCGTTTAACTTATCTTAGCTTTTTCGCGTTTAACTTATCTTAGCTTTTTCGCGTTTAACTTATCTTA